CCGATATATTAAACAATTCATATTATTACTATAATTGCAAATAAATAGTCCTAAAATTCATATTATTACTATAATTACAAATAAATAGTCTTAAAATTCATATTATTATTATAATTACTAAGAAATAGTCTTAATAAAAATTCTATTATAAAATTATAATAATGATAATTTTTTACTTACTATAAAATTATAATAATATGCATTATTCTAATTATTTTGTAATTATTATAATATTCATTAGAATATCACAATTATTTTACTAATACTTATATAAATGATAAGTATTAAATATTATCGTCATCTTAACTTTTTTCTAACTATTTAGGGTTGGCTACACAAATCCTGGTCCATCATTATGCTCTTTCAAGGGCCATATCCTCAACGATGTCTTTAGTCCCTATATTTTTCTCACTACTATAGACATATTATTAATATTCTAACAATTTTGAATTTAAGAAATCTAATAATGTAAAATTAGTTATAATTGTATAGTAATGAATAATACTATAGATTAATATAAAAATATAGTGGTTATACTAATTTCATTACATGATAATTATATTATAATTTTTTAATTAAATAGTTAAAATAGACTAAGATGCACCTACAAACTCCATCAAAAAAGGCTGCTTTGATATCGGAAAACTATCTAATTTGGTCATCTCGACATTGAGATATATGGATATGAAAAATAAATAAATATTAAGTCTTTAAAAGAGTATATCTTGCAACACATTTTCTATACATCCATTTTCAAAATTTTAATTCATTTATGGATCTCCTTCATTTGAATCATTTTTAGAGTTCAAAATTTTATAATTATCGATAAAGTAGATTCTTATGCCATCCTAGAAATTATTGGCATCAAAAGTGCATCTTATGACAAAGTTTGGATATGCACCTTACTTTAAATGTTTAATGTTCAAACCTTATGCAAATACTACATAATTATTATAATTCAAATTGATGAAATTAAAATTAGTTGTGAGTAAATATTCGTTGCCTAATAATTACAAATTATAGTATTTATTAAAATAAATATAATACGCTATAACATGTTATTAGTGCTGAAAAATATTATATAGCTGTTATAATTTTATAACAATAATAATTTTTTATGATCCAATAAAACATGAATATTTATTTATGATTATAATATTTTATTCAGAATACAATATATTTATTATATTTTGTACTTAAACTATTTATTATATTTTGTAATTTTATTCTAATAGGCGACAAGATAAGGGAAAATAGACTTAAGTGGATTGGCCATGTGTAACATACTCCTTATACAACCTTGGTTATGATGTGTGATCTGGTTCAAGTGGAAAAGTAATTGGGGAAGAAATAGAAGGAAAGAATGACCCAAAATAAACCAAAAACCAATCTATTAAATTTTTGGCTTTGATTTGAAAAAAATTGTCAGGGCCATGTAGATCAGTGTGTTAAGAACATTCTAGGACAAATTTGAATCATTTTGGTGAAAAAACAAAAATGAAATCTAAGATTTTCAAATTTGGCCTAAAAAATCTCGAAATGATAATCTCAATTTATTCTTCTTAACAAATTGCTATAGGTTTCTATTAGAGGGTTCCATTACCAACATTTTGAATCAAAGTATAGATGATTTAGTAGAGAGAGAGATTGGGTTTTAGGCTCAAAAGTGATGAGATTTTCATGGGGAAAAACAAGCCCAAAGTCCAAATTTTGATCGAAGAAATGATTTTCAGGAGGTAATTATGATTGATTTTTTCCAAATTGATCAAAATGGGTATACGAGTTAAGACTATTGGTTGAAAACTACAATTTTTTTGTAAAAAACTTTGTTCTTTTACCTATTTTCGAGTTAAAATTGGGTGCCCATAACCTCACCCAAGTGGGGCCCAAAGATCGGCTAAGGCTTGCCTGGCCGAAGTCAACTCAGTCAAATTTTTTTTTTTAAAAAAAATCTTTAAAATGTTATCTTGTTAAATTCATAAGTTTCCCAAGTCATAATAAGGTTTCTCTTTTTATAAATGTTGGAACATGTCTCCATCTTCTTAGTATTATAATGCAAGATGTTTACTTCATCATTGAAAAAGGTAAGGGGTAGGGCTAAAAGAATATGTTTGAAAAGATATGGAGACTTATAGTTTCATTGAGGATATGACATTTAATAGAACATAATGGAGAACCAAGATTTATATAGCCGACTACAATTAATTGAAAAAAAACTAAAATAATGATATCTTCACTTCACCATTTTTGGAATGGATCTCTCCACAACAAAGTGCAAAATGTAATGAATTATGGATGTGATTGTTTCAGTAGTGGGAGATCCAACTTCCACCAAATAGACTCCCATGTTTATGTGAAAGCCGAAGAGTAGCTTCCACAAACGTACAAAAATACTGCCTTTTGACGTTGTTTTGTGGAAGCCATCCATTCTAAGAATGGAATGGGTGGCGTCCATACCTTGTGGCCACAACAAACAAACATGCCAAGGATATCTTAGATATAAGTATGCCATATTAGAGTGAAGCTCCATTACGAAACTTTTTGAAAATCATCGATCTGATTTGTAGTTGCCTGGGTATTGGGTCCAATCCAAATTGAAACTTGGTGAATCAAAGCTTGATTTTGATTTTGAGTAATTTATGTACGGACAAAAAAAAGAAACTCCAAAATGAGTTAATTTTGGGGGAAAATTATGTGGAAGGTTGGTAAACATGTGTTTTTTATTTTTTTCAAAATTACCCCTTGGTCCATCTTGGAACCACTTTTAATTTATTTAGTTTAATTATTTCACTAGTAGGCTAGTGCCCCAATCTAGAAGGTAGTATGAGGTTGGCATCCTTGGACCACTTTATTTCTTAGCAAATAAATGAGCTAATATAGTTCGAGGATGCCAACCTTGGACCGCCTCGAAGAGCACTAGAGAAGGCGGTCCGAGAATGGGCAGCTCATACCACTTCTTAATGCTCACCAAAGTCAGCCTTTGTGGTCCGATGATGCTAACCTTGGACCGTTTGGAAGAGCACCATGAAAGGCGGTCTGATGATCCTAACATTGAACCGATTAGGCACTACCCTACAAAATGCCTATAGGCGAAAATGAACAATGATTTCGCCTACCCTCGTCACCATCCAAAGTTCCTCGTACAGTCACGATTGTTTGGTAGTTTTTCATTTTTAATTTTTTTCTACAAATCGAAATGACCTGAAATTTCGCCTAACCTCATCACCGTCCAAAGTTCCTTGTACGGTCACGATTGTCCGATAGTTTTTCATTTTTCATTTTTCATTTTTTTCTATAAATCGGAATGACCTGAAATTTGGAGCATGTGTACATCTTAGTGAGGCGCACCTAATAAAAATATAAAATAAATAATTTGTGAAAAATGAGCAAAATACCCCTGAAATTTTTTAGGGGTATTTTAGTCAATTTATTTCATGTAAAATATATTTATATATACATTTTTGTTAGATTTGCTTATTTTTTACAAACACATGCTCCAAATTTCAGGATCATTTCGATTTG